TAAGAGGTTGAGTGACGCAGTAACTTTCTATATCAGACTGTAATGGAGGCTCAGTCTTTATAATATCGTATATTTTTTTACTAAGTCTTCTTTAATATTCCTCGTTCTAACTCAAGAGTCCCCACAACATGAGCAATTATCATGTTATCATGCTCGTGTTATATGTGTGTCTATCTGTATCTATGGGTATATTACTCGTATATACGATGTATGGGGGTGTGTGTGTGTGTGTGTGTGTGTGTGTGTGTGTGTGTGTGTGTGTGTGTGAGTGCACAGGGTGGTGTAATGCGTCTAGTGTGGCAGCATTATGTTAGTGTTAAGGTGCAAACACTGCTTTCTTCCTCTCGCTTTCAGCTACCGTCGCTGGCTAGCCCTTGTGACGAACAGGGAAGCAACTTGCTTAAGTCCTCCCTTGCCAATACACAGCCTTTTCACCATCAAGACTCCTACTGTGGCTCCTTGTGGCAACACACAGTAACAGGGTGGCTCATGGGCCCAGGCTAGATCAGCAGGGGATCTCGGAGCTGCAGTGGGCCCTAGAGGGATGGCGCATAGGCCCACTGGCATGTGTACATGCCTACCAGCCACTGCCCCGCTGCCTTGAGGATTTACCTTGGTAGGTATAAGGCTACGGAAGTAAACCCCGAACGAAAAGTCTGCGGTGGAGCCCAGCATCAGGCAGACATGCTTACAGAGCTCCAACAAGACCCCCAACGGCGGTAAAGGCGGAAGAGGTGACCACCATGGGGACCCAACGACTACACAGGAGGACGAAGGCGATGCATGATGGACAAGCTATGAAGGAGAAACCCAACAAACTGGGCTATCGGCAGTTCATTGCAACTCTACCTCTCTCCATTCGTTGCCACACTTGCACCACTGAATCGAGAAAAGGGAGAGCCAACATGTGTGGTTGCAGCCAGCGCTTCTGCCGCACCACATAAATCAACTCACATGCAGCCATCATCCAGCTCATCATACTTCTCATCATCATCAAGAATCCTTTGCCCCAAAAAGTCCTGAGGACCAGTGGCGACAAAGACAGGCAGAGATGACTGCTGGGAGTCTCTTGTCACAACTCTGTACATGGGCGACATTGATAAGATGGTCTTTTATGCATTGGGATCTAGAGAGTAGTGCAATCCGATCCTGTTTGTGCAATTAAACAACCCTTTCGAGGAGCCCTAAACATAGCCTGCTTAAAGAACCAACCTGACCGGACAACCGCAAACTATGTAACTTCTTATGGTCGCTGCATGGAATGTCAGGAACCTTCTGGATACTAGCACAAATGAGCATCCTGAAATAAGAACTGCCCTTGTGCAAAAGAGCTGGCTAGGTATAACATCGATAGCAGCCATTAGGGAGTCCCGGCTCCCAGACGATGGTCAACACACACAACTGAGGTCAGGTTACACCTTCTTCAGGAAGGGTTAGCCTACTGCGGAGAGAAATAGGCATTTATGGAGTTGGCTTTGCCATCCACCAATGCACCCTACATAGGCTAACTGAATTGCCTGTTGGGATCAACGAGCGCCCCATGACGCCCACAGTCCCACTGAATCATTCATGGCATGCCTTCTTCAACAGTGCATATGCCTCAACACTGGATGTAGAAGATGACATCAAGGAGGCTTTTTATGCTAACCTTGGCAGTGCTAACCTCTATCAACAGAGAAGATAAGGTTGTGCTCCTAGGTGACTTCAATGCCAGAGTTAGCAGAGATGCTGACATTTGGCGTGGAACCATAGGGAGAAATGGACTAGGAAAGTGTAATCCCAAGGGCCTACTCTCCTCAGCAAGTGTGTTGCACACAACCTCACTCTGACCAATACCTTGTTTAGGCAGGCCGACAAGTTCAGGGGTTCATGGTAACACCCACTATCCAAACACTGGCACCTGATTGACTACATCATTGTCAGAAAAAGAGATCTCCGAGATGTCCTCATCGCCCGAGCAATGCGTGGCTCAGACCGCTGCGGCACTGATCATCGGCTCGTCATAGCCAAACTCTCACTTCACGTCGCCCCAAAACAGCGATGGCAACAAGACTCCAGAAGAGGTTTTCACATTAAGCGCTGGAGGATCCATAGACAGCACATGCTTTTGGAGAACAGCTCGAACATGGGTTGATAAACATCCCGACAACAAACAACTCAAATCCCAGTGCCGAATGGAGTATTCTCGGCACTGTCATGACACAAACTTGCAGAGAGACCCTCAGCCAGATCGAAAGAATACACCAGGACTGGTTTGATGTGAATGATGCGGAAATCAATGTACGTGGCACCTCTGATATGATCTTTACTGCCCACCAGATAAAGGAAAAGTGCAAAGAACAGCATCGTTACCTGTACATGACTTTCATCGACCTAACCAAGGCCTTCTGCTCGGTCAACAAGGAAGCCCTCTGGCGAACCCTCAGACGTTTTGGCTGCCTACCAAAATTCATCGCCATTGTGAGGCAACTCCACGATGCCATGAACGGCAGTGTCCTGCACAATGGCACCCAGTCTGAGTTCTTCCCCATCCTAAACGGGGTTAAAACAAGGATGTGTACTGGCACCAACTCTCTTCTCCATTTTCTTGGCTGCCTTCCTTGCTCGTGCCAGTGCCAATTTAGCCGGCGGGGTGGACATCCAATACCGGATGAAGTGTATTTTCAACTTCAGACGACTCCAGGCAAGAACAAAGGTGTCGACAGCTTCCATTACTGAACTTCATTATGCACACGACCTCATCCTTGTCGATCACACTGAACGCGACCGACAGGAGATTCTGAACACCTCCGCAGATGCGTATGAAAACTTTGAGTTTGAGGTCGAAGTTTAACGGTACTACCCTCTCTATTATTACCCACTTTCGGTATCTCGGATCCTACCTGCATACACCACCGCGGACAACGATAAAGAGATTCAACATCGGATGAGATGTGCATCTCAAGCCTTTGGCAGATTTCGTACCCGTGTCTTCAGCTGTTGGGAGCTGAAATTATCATCAAAGTTGGACGTATATCGAGCAATGGTCTTCCCCACCCTGCTATATGGCAGCAAGATATGGGTCACATATAGGAGGCACCTCACTGCACTTGAAAACTTTCACCAATGTAGTTTACGTTCCATCCTTCGATTTAGCTGGGAAGACAAGAGAACAAATTCCAGAATTCTCGCTGACACGAACTATAGGAGCATCGAGACTCCCATTATCTATGAACTTCTACGCTGGACTGTCTATGTTACGAGCATGGACGACAGTAGACTGCCAAAGCAGCTACTTTATAGTCACCTCACGAATAGTAAACGTAACGCTGTCTGGCAACTGAAAAGGTATAAGGAAAGTCTTAAGACAAATCTGAAAAGTGCCAAATCGACCCCCTCACATGGGAGACGATTACTCCACACCGTAACTCTTGGAGGATCACCATACGAGAAGGTGTCAATACTTTCGAGTTAGCCCGACTGCTTACCGAGACAAACAAGCAGCAACGCCGGAAAGACGCTGCCGCCGCCCCTCCCTTCACATGTGCAACTTCTCTTGTCACCTCTCAGCTCACCAATGAAGGTGACATTCTTAATAACTCATATCATTTTATCATAGCTGGATGATCGTCATACTCGATTCTTCGTGACAGCAAAGTAGTAGTAGTGTGTGTACGTTTATGCTTCTATGGGCGTGTGTATTCTCCTCGAGGTGTGTGTTATGACAGTGGTTCTGTAGCACTACACTCCACGCCAGGATCACATTTGATGTCACAGAAAATTTTAAAATTGTGCGATTCTCTTAGTAAGTATGAACCTTAATATGGGAAACTACACAACAAATGGGGCATTTTCAGGAACTCAACCCCTCTGAGTATGTCCTCTGGCATGTGAACACGGCCTTTACGTAAGCGTCCCCAGATGTATGGAACATAGTGCTCTCTCTACCCATGGCTGCTCATGTGGGAAACCGTGCAGTAGGTAATGGTGTATTTATTATATCAAATTGTTAAACTCACTGTCGTCGGGAACTAACATTCTGTCACACAAACATTTATTTATTATATAACTAACAAACGTAGAGATAAACTGTTACTATTTAGTTATCAAGTAATTTTTTGTGTTTTGAATAATTGAGATAGAACGGAGTGCTCCTTCAGTTGTTTGTTTCTGGTTTCTGTGATGTAGTCCACACACATATTGGGTATCCTAACCTACTGAATTATAATTCTTGTCTGATCATAACCATATAGGGCACAACAGACAATTTTCAAGCGTTCTTGTTGGATCACTGTAACCTAAAACTCACACCACATTGCTTTCCATCCCACCGAGATCCAGCAAGTACGAGTATACTGTCTGAGTAGAACAAAACCTTGAGCATTAAATAACAATCCAGAAAGCTTAAGAATGAGGGAACAAAACGTGTGAGGTCCTGTTGAGAATCTTTTAATTCTTGCCATAACTTGTTCACTCTTGTATATCATCTCTCATACCTTACCTCTGGGGATTATGGGTCACTGTCATAAGCTGTGGTGTCAGGACAGGTGGATGGACTATAGGAATTTATCCGAACTATTTCCCTGAAACTTTTATCGGTCGAATTATGTAAGTGGACACCTACCCCTTATGGTGGGTCCGGCCATAGGAGATAGGTGTGCCTCATCAAGTTTTGTAGTTCAGGTAAACTACCTGTGATCTTGATGCAGTGATCCCAGCTATGAAAATTCCGCTCGGACCACTTCTCAAAAACTATATAAAGGAGGAAATTCATTGTAGCGTATATTATTCCTCATATGAGATCTTGTCTTAGTAACTCTGAATGTGAAAATTTGACCCAGAAACTGAAACTATTCACCTGATGATCCTTTGCCCTGGACACGCACAATGATCTAAAGGTTAAGGAGGGCATAGTTAGGTTTCAACGTATTATTTGAACTTTAACCTTTGACCTTAACTCTGAAGATTGTATATGTATTATGCATTGAAACCCGGTTATTGGAGTCTGTTCATTTTGGGTGTTATAATGACTCTAACGGGAAGATGATCTGTGTAAGAATCCCACTGACAACATTAATATTAGGGTCTGCAACAATCCCAGTAACAGCGTTAATACTAGGGTCTGCAACAATCCCAGTAACAGCGTTAATACTAGGGTCTGCAACAATCCCAGTAACAGCGTTAATACTAAGGTCTGCAACATTCCCAGTAACAGCGTTAATACTAAGGTCTGCAACAATCCTAGCGACAGCGTTAATACTAGGGTCTGCAACATTCCCAGTAACAGCGTTAATACTAAGGTCTGCAACAATCCCAGTAACAGCGTTAATACTAGGGTCTGCAACAATCCCAGTAACAGCGTTAATACTAGGGTCTGCAACATTCCCAGTAACAGCGTTAGTACTAAGGTCTGCAACAATCCCAGTAACAGCGTTAATACTAGGGTCTGCAACAATCCCAGTAACAGCGTAAATACTAGGTTCTGCAACAATCCCACTGACAGCGTTAATACTAGGGTCTACAACATTCCTATTGACAGCGTTACTACTAGGTTCTGCAACAATCCCACTGACAGCGTTAATACTAGGGTCTGCAACAATCCCAGTAACAGCGTTACTACTAGGTTCTGCAACAATCCCACTGACAGCGTTAATACTAGGGTCTGCAACAATCCCAGTAACAGCGTTAATACTAGAGTCTGCAACAATCCCAGTAACAGCGTAAATACTAGGGTCTGCAACAATCCCAGTAACAGTGTTAATACTAGGGTCTACAACAATCCCAGTAACAGCGTTAATACTAGGGTCTGCAACAATCCCAGTAACAGTGTTAATACTAGGGTCTGCAACAATCCCAGTAACAGTGTTAATATTAGGGTCTGCAACAATCCTAGCGACAGCGTTAGTACTAAGGTCTGCAACAATCCTAGCGACAGCGTTAATACTAGGGTCTGCAACATTCCTATTGACAGCGTTACTACTAGGTTCAGCAACAATCCTATTGACAGCGTTAATACTAGGGTCTGCAACATTCCTATTGACAGCGTTACTCCTAGGTTCTGCAACAATCCTATTGACAGCGTTAATACTAGGGTCTGCAACATTCCTATTGACAGCGTTACTCCTAGGTTCTGCAACAATCCCACTGACAGCGTTAATACTAGGGTCTGCAACAATCCCAGTAACAGCGTTAATACTAAGGTCTGCAACATTCCCAGTAACAGCGTTAATACTAAGGTCTGCAACAATCCCAGTAACAGCGTTACTACTAGGTTCAGCAACAATCCCACTGACAGCGTTAATACTAGTGTCTGCAACAATCCCAGTAACAGCGTTAATACTAGGTTCTGCAACAATCCTAGTGACAGCGTTAGTACTAAGGTCTGCAACAATCCTAGCGACAGCGTTAATACTAGGGTCTGCAACATTCCTATTGACAGCGTTGCTACTAGGTTCAGCAACAATCCTATTGACAGCGTTAATACTAGGGTCTGCAACATTCCTATTGACAGCGTTACTCCTAGGTTCTGCAACAAACTCGTTAAAACTAGGGTCTGCAACAATCCCAGTAACAGCGTTAATACTAGGGTCTAGGGTCTGCAACATTCCTATTGACAGCGTTGCTACTAGGTTCAGCAACAATCCTATTGACAGCGTTAATACTAGGGTCTGCAACATTCCTATTGACAGCGTTACTCCTAGGTTCTGCAACAATCCCACTGACAGCGTTAAAACTAGGGTCTGCAACAATCCCAGTAACAGCGTTAATACTAGGGTCTGCAACAATCCCAGTAACAGCGTTAATACTAGGATCTGCAACAATCCCAGTAACAGCGTTAATACTAAGGTCTGCAACATTCCCAGTAACAGCGTTAATACTAAGGTCTGCCACAATCCCAGTACCAGCGTTACTACTAGGTTCAGCAACAATCCCACTGACAGCGTTAATACTAGGGTCTACAACATTCCTATTGACAGCGTTACTACTAGGTTCTGCAACAATCCCACTGACAGCGATAATACTAGGGTCTGCAACAATCCCAGTAACAGCGTTAATACAAGGGTCTGCAACAATCCCAGTGACAACATTAATAATAGGGTCTGCAACAATCCCAGTAACAGCGTTAATACTAGGTTCTGCAACAATCCTAGCGACAGCGTTAAAACTGGGGTCTGCAACAATCCTACTGACAGCGTTAGTGCTAGGGTCTACAACAATCCTACTGACAGCGTTAGTGCTAGGGTCTGCAATAATCCTAGTGACAGCGTTAATACTAGGTTCTGCAACAATCCCACTGACAGCGTTAATGCTAGGGTCTGCAACAATCCTAGTGACAGTGTTAATACTAAAGTCTGCAATAATCCTAGTAGCAGCGTTATTACTAGGGTCTACGACAATCCTAGTAACAGCGTTAATACTAGGGTCTTCAACAATCCTAGCCTAGTCAATATTTTCAACCTGTGCAGCAATGTTAGCAGAAACAGCAGTGTCTAGTTCTAGAGTAACTTAAGTGTCAATAGCAATCTTAGTGTTCGTAACTTTTTTCTGTGTGTGCAATAGTTCCAGTATCTGAAGCACCAATTATTTGTAAAATTCCGATTATTTGCAGTATCCTCGGGTTTTGCAACAATAGCACAAACATCAACAATCCCGATGTCTGAGTAAATTCAACAATATTATTGAAATGTACAACAATCCCATTTCTGTAATAATAATCCTACTGTTTGCAATAATTCTGGTGTCTGTGATAATCCCGGAGTCTGCAATTATCCCGGAATCTGAAAGAAATCTAAAAATCGGCAACAATCCCGGCATCTGCAACAATCTGCAATCTTCCTGGGGTCCGCAACATTAGTGAGGACCATGTCTTAAATTGCGAGAATCCGAATTACCATAAATCACTTTATATTAATGGGCGGAATTCAGCGGTCGCAGGTGCACACGTCACCAACTCTCTAATGTGCCACACACCTTTCTTATGATTAATCTTGAGAGGAGGTAATTTTGGCTTCTTATTCTTCTTTTTCTTCTTCTTTGTATTATTATTATTATCTTTCTTTTCCGTCTTCCTTCTTCTTGCTTCCTTCTTCCTTCCGTCTTCCTTCTTCCTTCCGTCTTCCTTCCTCCTTTTTTTCCTATCCGCTTCAGTTTGAGCACCCTCCTCTCTCTACATATTCCCTTCTTATATTTCTCTTGTAGATCTTAATTTCCTTCTCTGATCCTCATCCCCGTTTCCTATCTCTCTCATTTCTTTGATTCTTGATTCCCTTAACCTTCTCATCCCCTCCCCTTCCCTCTTTCGGTTCACATATTCACTTTCTCTCGGTGTGCTAAGGCAATGCCGGTCTTATAATACCAATTTAACTTTGATATGAATATAAACATGGTCATATATATCAGAAAATACCAAGGTGTTGCACTTAAACTGATTCAAATGTTGTCCTTTTAAATTTTCATAAAAGGGGTCAGAAATTTGTCCGGGGATTTCAGTATCGTTAAAAATGAGAGACGTATGAGAGAACAATTTTAATATTACCTCATTATGTATAATTAACATTTACCTTGACAAAATAGCATCGGTGACTCAGTAGATTAAGAACATTCAGCTCCAGGTTTCACGGATGATAGATGAATGAGTTGAGAGTATAGAGACATAAAGATGTGTCTATAATGTTACCACGGATGAAAATGTGTTTGACCTGTCATAGCACTATGCGGCAACCTCATAAGGTTTACTTATGACTTATATTTTGTCCCAGAAATAATACACTTCAGTATCTTTCTCACATATTATATATCATGCCTTGCGCTTTTCCCCGACGCTCAAATATCAAAAAATTTCTATAAATTTGTTGAAGTGAAGTCTAAATCCCATTTGTCGCAGCTTACTTGTGTTAAGAAACAATAATATCTTCACAGGTTGAGAGTTGCCTTAGTAATCAAACAAGTGAAAGTTAGAAGGTATAGAACGTAAAAATAAATTGATATAGAAATGTGTGTCACCACCACTACCAGAGAGCAGAATACAAAATTAGGTCTGAGTCACAGCTGAAGGTTAGAGGTCACAACCTTATCTGGGTCATAGGTCTTCAATTTTTAAAGATATTGACGAAACTACACATGACTATTTACTATCACTTTTGTGTTCTTATATTTTAAATAAGAAATTTCGACTTAACTGATGGATACATATTGACATTAGTAATAATTGTAACTAAAATTCACTCTCTGGGATTAGAAAAAAAAAATAATAGTTAATTTAAGACTTATATTTCCAAAAGTTTCCCACGTAATGGTGCCTGGTGATAAATGCCACAACGACAGAAAGGAAGACCTCCAGAGAGTGAGACATGAGTGAGGTGGTAATGTAACTGAAAATGGTGGTGGATTTTACATTGTTGATATCCCCACCTCCACCCCTCCCCCCCATCCCCACACCACCGGTTCACACACACACACACACACACATTACATGAGCACGACTCTCCAGGTTCATTTAATTCACTTCTACTAATTCATTAGATAATACGACTTAAATACGTTAAGCCATTTTAATGCTCTTTGCCATTTATGAATGATTCTGGTAATTAAAACTTTATGCTTTACTTTTCTATATAAATACATTGATCTTGTAATGATACAATATTTTACTATGTAGAATCGATTATCTGTTGTGTTTTCTTCTTATTAGACAGAAGGGGAGGCTAGAGCTCACCTTCAAGTTAAGTGAGAGTGGAAAAATACAAATTTACGAGGCAGTGAAATTTTTTGGGGTTCAGAAACTTGATCAAATAGACAAAGTTATAATGAAGAAGAACTTTGATGTGTAGCTTTTTATGCGACGTACATCAGAGACCTTACCTGAGTATAATGAGCCATTAGTCTTATAAAAATTGATGGTAGTTGATGTGAGAACACTGGATTTGGACACAAGTTTTAAAGCGGTTGCAAAAATAATACCTAATACAATCCAAAAGTATAAACAGTTTACATACTCGTATATGTTGATACCGAATTACTTTTATATAGACGTTTCTTTCCCGCTTTAACAACCGGAGGAGTCAGTTAAGGTGGGCGCAGGGAAGATATCAGGTGGTTCAGACGGACAGTACCTTGGTAGTAACTAGGATGCCTTAACGTGTTTTTATAGACATAGGACAAAGACAGACACACTAAAACGCAAAGGAAAAATATGTCAGCTCTCCCGTTCTAGAGAAAAGCGAGAAAAAAATTGATGAAATTTGACTAGTATTTTTTTTCCTCGCAGATTGTCAGCGGAGTCAGCGGAGTTGTCAACGAAGCAAAAAAGTCAACAGCAATATTAAAAAATATCGGTATAAAAAAAAAATCCAAAATATATCCATTTCCTTCATGAACGACTCAACCTCTACTATAATCCTTTGTAAAGTTTATGGTATAGAAATAACAAAGAACATATATTATAATAATGTGTAAAAAGTTAGTAAATTTGTAAGTGAACGATTTTAATTGTCATTTTCATGTTATAGTCATTGCCCAAACCATAAACAGACTTTTCCCTCTATAATTACCTTCATCTGGTCCTCCCTATCTCTCTTTTATCCATCTTCTCTCATTCAACAATTATCACGTTATCTCACCCACTTGTCCATTCTCCCTTCCATCTCCTAATTCGTTTCTTTTCTTCCTGTCTAACCTCTTTCATCCTTACGTATCCCTCTGCTTCATCTTACGATCCATTATCCCTTCATCCTCTAACCCATTTCCTCCTGCTATCCACCACAATAGCTCATCAAGCCATCTTCCTCTACCCCGGCTTAAGTAAACAGTTGATTTAACCATTAAAAGTGACTCCTCTTCCAGGTGTCAAAACCTTCGACCCGTTCGCCACGGAGGTGTGTGTGTGTGTGTGTGTGTGATGGAGCATATATGTGTTTTTAAGTTGATAAATAAAAAAATATTCTAATATGATTAACAGAGACTTATAACCGAAATTGTAAGTGAACGACTATTACTTACGTAGCGGTGTACCATAACCAGAAGAACGTGTGCCAGGTAGTCAAGTAAGGTTAGTCGAAGTCCTTGCCAGATAAATATTTCTAATATCTGTGTAAGGTTAGGTAGTGACGTCACCCTAACCTAACCTAACCTAACGTAACCTAACCTAACCTAACATAAGCAAACCAAGTGTTAGGGTGTTTAATCATTAAGTGAAATAAGCTGGGGTAATCCTCATGAGTTCCAAAGAAAGACATAGGGTAGTGGAGTAAAAGCTGAGACAAGACGGCCTGGAGGAGAGTCGTATCCCCATGTCATATAACCCAACACAAACCAATTATTTTTACCATTATACGCAGCGCCAGCACGAACAATCGACAGCGTCTGGCGTTTTCGTTCACCCTACAATGCATGAAAGCGACACCATAATCGTTAGTCCGCTTTTGCCTGTCTGGCGCTGGCTTATAATATACAAGGTCTTCCAGTAGTCTTCTAATATTGAAATACGACTGTCCTAACGTTGCATTTAGGAGCCTTTGTACAAACGGGAAATGGAGTTTCTAAAATGAGAAAGTAGGCAGCTACCAAACAGGGAGGTACTACCGCCTGGGAAGATATTGGAAGCATAATGTGTTGTCTAATGGTAGACCCTGCTGCCATATGGCATCACGAAAATTGTGACCAGTCCCAGATTGCTGATCTGTCTTTCTGCCTCATTTACACACAGTTGCAGGTCTCAATTGTATCTCTTACTTGACAACACAACATACATATAGCGTTTCTCACGATTGATTTTTGTTTTCATTTTTTCATTTCTTATTATTTTATTATTATATTATTATTAGTGTTATCAATATTCTTTTCTTTTACTATTTATTGTGAATTTTATTCACAATGAATAACTATTACATTTTCGCCCCCCAGGCCCCGATGTGGGTCAGTGACCTGTGCCTGGGTGGTCTAATCCCCGTAAAAAAAAAACATAATATTAATAATATAGAGATAAATATCAGTATATCATTTCATTTAGTGTACACATATTCAGTTACATGACAGGACGTATTGTTGCAGTGCTAAGAGAACGCAGTGTGAATTTTGCAATGTTTGATCTTGTATAGTTCTGGCAATTTCTCAATTTCTCTTTGATTTTTATTTCCGTTGCACTCTGTATATCATTCATTTGTTGCCCTAATATACAGAACTAAAATTTTAAGTGTTGGTGGATGTATAACTTTTCCTACATATTATAATAAATGTTCTTTTTTTTTTCCTTTTATACAGTGTACACTCACTATAAAATATTCTGCACACTTGGCTCGGAAACCATCCGCAACGATCACTGCGACAGCAGCTGTGATGAGTGTTGTCAGATTTCTTGGTCCGATGTGTCATATTGTATAACACCGTAAAAGTGCACAATAATATTTTAGTGAGTGTACACTAACAACACATTGTATTACTGTTAGAATATTTTAAGATTATTAAGTTTTAATTTAAAGATCTGTAGGGATCAATGGCACTTGTGTGTATATAATTGTACAGTACAGGACATACGGTACTGAAATGAGTTAATTCTCGAGTTAGGTTAGACTCCGGCCATTTTAACTTAGCTACGTAGGTTAGGTAGCTAGGTTATGTTATAGAAGTTTCAGCTTTAGGATAAGTTAGATCCCGGAAGTTAGTGAAATTAGGATTGACTGAGCCCTTATCATTTTACCTTGATCAATACAGGTTATATTAAAACCTCTTGGGGTAGCTAAAATGTAGACCGTATGAGGTGAGGTGAGGCAGTGGTGAGGTGAGCGGCTCCGTGACACGGGGCAGTCAGGCGGCGGTGTGTGCGTCATCGGGCTGTGTGTCCTCGCCTTTGTTCCCCGTGATTACACTCGCATTAGTTTAATGGAACTGGTCTTAGTAACCCATAAACGTGGCGTAGTCCAATGAAGAAAGGTAAAATTCTTAGATTATAAAAAAATCTGAAAAAAGTCGGGTGACACCAGAATGATTTTAATAGCTTATGATGCCAATGTCTCAACCCAGGATGAATTACTTTAGGACAAAATTGTGGCTTTTAGTTTCATAAGATGGCAGGCAGGAAAAAATAGGAAGGATGAGAGGAGATAAATGCCAGGGTTAAATTCTCAGGAAGCGGGTACCTGGTGGCCAGTGTTTCAGCACGATCTGGTTGTGATCAAAGGTGACTTAACCCACAATGTCTTTAACCTTTGAAAAAAAAAAAAAGAATTTGAACATCTATTGATACCTGTCATTATAAATAAATAAAATGTGTCCATACATATTTGATCCATATTGAGAATGGTTTTAACGGCTTACAGTTTGTTCAAAGACTTGACAGTGAGAATAACCATTAATCAGAAAGCAATAAAGTAAATTAAATCTGAAATCAGCTGAGATAAGCTTCTCGTGCAGCTTTACTGTACAGTATACAACATTCTAGCGTGAAACTTTTCTGCTCCTCCACTAGAGTGAGGCTCCACATTGTCTCACTGTAGTGCATTAAGGTAGACCACATTTTTGGTTTTGCCATTAGCAGCAAGTATGTAAAAAAATTTGCCAGTTCCCACTCTGGAGCATCCAACATAGAACTGTCCATGAGAGCAGCAAGGAAACACCAGGTTTAGGCCAACCATCTTTAGGGACTGTCCCTGGCTTTTGTAGATGGTCATGGCAAAGCTCACTTTAACCGGGAACTGAAGTCGCTTGAACTCAAATGGCAGGTCAGTGGTGATGAGAGGTATCCTTGGTATAAAAACGTCCTCTCCTTTAGCTTTTCCTGTCAGTATTGTAGCTTCCAGTACTTGTGGCATCATGTTCTTCACCACCAGCCTTGTGCCATTGCAGAGGATTGGTGGTTCAAGATTTCTTAAGAGCATTATACGAGTTCCAATCTTGAGAGTGAGGTGGTGAGGAGGCATTCCAACGGGCTCCAAAGAATTAAGGAATTCTGCAGGGTACTGGACTGCTTGGTCCTGGTCGATTACTGTATCAACAGATTTGAGAGAGGTCTCACTGCCTGGAAGCTCTCAGTAGAGTCATGTTGATTTTAGCCACTGTTTCATTCTTTGGTGCCAGAATTGCGCGTTCACACAGCCACTTGTGATCCTTGTAGTGGTGGATAATGTTTGGGTAGACCATGTTAGTGAGCTCAGTTGAGGACTTTACAACATTTACACATCGTTGAGGAATGATTATTTGTCCTTCTGAATCAACAGGGAAGTTCCATTCCCAATGTGTTGTAGAAAGTTTGCAAACCGTTTACCATCCTGATCTCCTTGTAGATGTATACTCTCATGTTTGTGGATAGGGTGAGTGTCTGAACACTTCTCCAAAGGTATGATGCCTTGAGGCACGCATTCATTTCATCAGCTGGAGTGCTTCGAGGAATGACAGGTAGGGTCTGGCGAAAGTCTCCAGCAATGACCATTGTAATGCCACCCATAAGCTGGTTATTTTCTCCTATGTCTTGCATGGTCCTGTCCAATGCTTCAAACGCTAACTTGTGAGACATAGTGCATTCATCCCAGACTATGAGGATGCATTTTTCTAAGAGTTTTGCCTTTGCCGATCCTTTTTTGATGTTGCACACTGGATTCTCATTGTGAGCGAGGTTGAGAGGCAGTTTAAAAGTTTAGTGTGCAGTACGTCCTCCGTCTAGTAGTGTTGCAGCAATGCCTGAGGATGCCACAGCAAGAGCAATTTTCCCCTGATGACGTACTTTGGCCAACAGAAGGTTGATCAGGAATGTTTTTCCTGTCCCGCCAGGTGCATCGAGAAAAATCATACCTCCCTGCTCCGCTTGTATCGCTTGCAAGATCTGTTCATAAGCGTTTGCTTGATCAGGCACCAGGTGAGGCTCATTTTCCTCAAGAAAATTCACCAGAACTTCAACTGAGTAGTCTGTCTCTCTGAGCAACTCCCTGTTTGCAACTACTGTTCAGTCCCCAAAACTTCCTCTTCCATCAAAAGTTCATTAACGGTGTATGTAAGTTCCACTACAACGGTACAGCAAAGTATATTTTTTTAGCATTAAACTGTTATTATTTTATTGTCTAATCATCACTACATATAACACCATCCATCATCACTACATATAACACCGTCCATCATCACTACATATAACACCATCCATCATCACTACATATAACACCATCCATCATCACTACAGATCGGTAAAGTAGTTTCCGAGACTCTCGTGCAGACACACACACACACAAACAAACAAACAAACACACAGACATGCTTCTTTGTTATATATATATATATATATATATATATATATATATATATATATATATATATATATATATATATAAGGTTAAATATTTCACATTTGTTTAAAGACATTTTAAAAAGTTCAAGGGCTTTGACCGGAGAGTGAACTATTTTTTTTATTTATTTATCCATCATTCATTTATCTTTGCAACTGTTCACTAAATGAAATACATAAAAACAAACACAAATTGCCATATCGTATATGAGTGTAAATATCTATGTGCTGTACGTTATACAAGAGCAGCATCAACAACCATGTACAGCAGTTACTAATGTTTATAGCTGTATTTTTTATCAGTTAGGTGTCTACAGTTGTTATTTTGTTAATTGTTAGTTATGTTAAAGTAATCCATAATACTCTTATGGATTATTTTTATTATTCAGTCAAATTAAAAAATTCAAGTGAAATGATAATTATTTCTTTATAAATCCCGTCAAGTAAAATAACC